GATGAGTGAGTCAATAACTCCTGACCACACGGACAGATAGGGGTCCTCTCAGCCAGATCGCTTTGCCCTTGGGGCCGAGAGAGTGTGACTTTCCAAGGCCAGCAAGTGCATTGCCGGACTGAGCTGACCCCTGGGCCCAGGTCCAAGACTGCAACCACCACTCTCCAAACTTCCCGAGAGTTGTCTTGGCTGTTCCATAGCTTGCCTTTGCCTTCCTCTGAGGCTGAGAGAGCGGAGCGCACAGAAGTCCTCCTGGGCCATAATCTGGGCCCTGGTCTCCAACCCACGACCCCACGCTAGATCTCTTCCTCAGAAGGCTAGACCTCCCTCTTGGCCCAGCACAGTGGCTTCCCTTCCTCTTCCTGTGGTGTTTCCTGTGGCTACGGGACACTCTTTATTTATTTTAATGTTTATGTATTGTATGTGAATTTGTGTCTCGGCATTGAATGTATGCCGTGCATATGCTGTGCTCCGCCCTGAGTCCCCTTCGTTGGGGTGAGAAGGGCGGAATATAAAAATTTAAAATAAATAAATAAATAAATGTCCCCTTTGCATGAGGAGCTGGAGCTGACCGAGGGAGCTCATCCGCCCTCTCCCCGGATGCGATCATGCAACCTTTCGGTCTTCAGTCCTGCCAGCACAGGGGTTTAACCCACTGCGCCTTTGGGGGCTCCTAGCCGGGGCAGTGAAATAAGTGCATTCACTCTGCAGCACAGATGCCCCCCAAGGTTTCTTCTCCATTGCAGAAAGCTTTAGTGTTCTGGCGCTTGTGGAATTATAAGCAGGCAACAACTGCAATGCACGTCTTTTGTGGACAAATGGTAAAAAAAGATCACTTTTCACCACTGCGCATTACATTCACCAGGAAATATTGTTATTATTATTATTATTATTATTATTATTATTATTATTATTTACTTCATATACCGCTTTTCTCAGCACTTGGGCGGTTTTTTTGGTTTCAGGGTTTTGAAAATAGAGGTGTGCATTAGATCCGATGGCTGCCAGGTGGCAAAGCGCCCCCCTTTCCCTCCCCTCCCCTTACCATGTCTGTGTCGGCGGCAGGCTTGGTCTCCGGGAGGAGCTGCTTGGGCGGCCGGACCACGGTGGGCATGATCTGGTTGTGGAGGGCCGTCTCCTCCTCCGTCGCTTCCTCCAGAATCTGAGGGAAAGATGTGCGTGCGTGAGTGAGCGAGCGGCGCATGGAAACTGCCCGGCTTTCCCCTCGGCCCCAGAAGCACCCCCACCAGCACGGCCCCCCCCCCAAGCATTTCCCTTTTAAGCACAGAACCATTGGGGGTGGGGACGGGACCCCTTGGGGCCTGCCCGCTGTCATGTTTGGCGGCTCTGTTTCCCAAATCTGTGTGGCCCAAAGGGGTCGGGCTTCCTGCCTTCACCCCCACCCCCACCCCCCTCTCTTCCCCAAAGTAGTATTTCGTGTGCCTGATTTGAGAAGGGAGCACCTGGAGACCTCTCTCTGCCTCAAGAGGCCTCCGACACACCTTCCGAAATTAGGGAAGGCTTCTTTTGTCCACCTACTCTTGAGTATGGGACTCTCTGCCCGCAACAATACAAGGGAATGTGTAACCTTCTTTCTAAACCTTCCCAGGGCATCCTCCTGCGTGTCTCCTCTCCTGCCCTCAGCTCCTGTATGCTCTGCTATAGTGACTGACCATCCCTGCCCTTTGACCTCTCTATCCCCCCCTCCGTCCCCGCCGCCACTGGCCACTCACCCATCCGGTGGCTGCGAACATCTTGAGGTCGAGGGGGTCCCCTGAGAGCAGCCCCTCAATTTTGGTGAGGGAGTGGCAGGTGGCCATGCAGGCCACAAAGGGGGTCTTGACCAGGGCCTGGCTGCAGGGCTGCTCCTCCGGCGGAAGGAAGCTGAGGGAGGGAGGAGGGAAAGCCGATGATGGGACACGCCACTGACCTGCCCAGGAGTGACAAGGCACGCACACCCTCCCCAATCTCCACCCCTCTACATGTCACGTCCACATTCCACAGGAAAGACCCATGGCGGCCAGGTTGGAAAGGGGGAAATATATGTGTGGACCGAGACCCAGGACTTACCTGGAGTTCTCCACCCGATGGATCCCCCAAAGGTCCAGCCCGTCCTCGGTCAGGGTTCCTGTCTGGCGATGAGGAGGGAGGGATGGCATTCAAAAGCTCCTGGCCTCACTTGCTAGTCACTTCCCTGTATCCCTTTGCAGTGTCCCAGGTGTGCCTTCTTCCCAAGATGGCGAGCCAGGAGAAAATGCCCACCCTCCGTTTTAGCGGAACAAGCTCGTAAATGTAACTTTAAAAGTCAGTTGCATAAGAGCAAACTGAACCCAGAAATATCACTAATTACCTAGTTGCCATTATTGTTGTTGTTGTTGTTGTTAATACCCATTTTTTCTCTTACATTGAAAGCATTTCCATACAATTTAAAATCCACCAATAGAGAAACATTAAAAGAGAATTAAATATCAATGGTATTTTTAAAACTTGCAGTCAAAACCCCTGTTTAAAAAACCCATTCCAAGCAAAAAGCCCACCAGCAGCAGCCCCTGACTTGAGGTGAAAAGCCTTCGCCTTAAAAGCCAGCTCAACATTATTGGGGTTCAGTTTCTCTCCCTTCGGAGCTGCCTCTGCCTGCCTTCTATGCCCACCAAGGGAGGGGGTACTGGACCCCCGCTCCATGGTCACCCTGACTTCAGCCACCTGCTGCTTCCTGCATTGAGGAGAAGCAGGGCAGTGGGCCAAACAGGCCACCCTCAGGGCCCACCTGGGGCCCACAAACTGGCCCCACAGACGGCAGGGGGTGCCCCTCTCTGGGGGCCCACAAACAGGCCCCACAGACCATAAGGGGCACCCCTCCCCAGATCAGGGGCTACGAGGGCTCCTCCCACCAGCGACTGTAAAGGACTTTAAAGGGAGGGGGCACTGGACCCCCGCTCCATGGTCACCCTGACCTCAGCCACGTGCTGCTTCCTGCACTGAGGAGAGGCAGGGCAGTGGGCCAAACAGGCCACCCTCAGGGCCCATGAACTGGCCCCACAGACAGCAAGGGGCGACCCTCCCCAGATCAGGGCCCACAAACAGGCCCCACAGACCATAAGGGGCACCCCTCCCCAGATCAGGGGCTACGAGGGCTCCTCCCACCAGCGACTGTAAAGGACTTTAAAGGGAGGGGGCACTGGACCCCCGCTCCATGGTCACCCTGACCTCAGCCACGTGCTGCTTCCTGCACTGAGGAGAGGCAGGGCAGTGGGCCAAACAGGCCACCCTCAGGGCCCATGAACTGGCCCCACAGACAGCAAGGGGCGACCCTCCCCAGATCAGGGCCCACGAGGGCTCCCCCCCCCCAACACCCAACACAAACTGAGGTCGAGGGGGCACCTTGTCAAAGCAGACCAGGTTGAGCTGCCCGCAGATGTTGATCCTCTGGGGGCTGATGCAGAAGATGCCCACTCTCTTGAGCCGCCGCTGCGCGTAGACGATGCCCGCCGTCATGGCCGCCGGAAGCGCCGGAGGGACGGTGATGGTGATGATGTCCAGGGACTCAATGACAATGATCTCGGCCGGAACCTGCCCACAAACCAGGCACAGAACTCAGGAGGGATGCCGGGTGGCCCCAGACAAAAGGGGGAGCAACCAAGCATGCCCCCACCCCCAACAAGGGGTCCCCAAAGTACTCCAGGGGCCACAAATCGAGTTTGAATCAGGGGTGCATTGGCCCCTGAGAAGAGGGTTGGAGGGCAGCAGTTGCTTCCCCATAAGAAACCATAACAGAGGGGACGTGGAGGACATTGCACCACGTTTTGAGTCCCCCAAAAGGCCCCTCCTGGGCTTAAAGTGGGGGGGGGGGGGGGGGTTCAGAATGCAGGGAAAAGACCACCAGTGCCCCCTAGTGGACACAATGGACCATCAATGGGCTGTTTTATTATTATTTTTCAAGATTTGTTTTTGACCAAAAGTGGGAGAAAGGAACCCTGCGGTCAGGGTCAGATTCCTTTCTGATGATCCCTAAGTGTTTGAGACCTATGGGGCTATGGGGGGGACATGGCCCTTTGCCCCCTCCCCACTTTAAACAGGTTGCAGCCCCTCTCCTTCCTTACGCTGTCTAGCATTCAGAAAACAAAACCAGATGACGCCCGCTTCAGGTCCACCACTCTCTTGCATTTTATGCTTTCAGGCAGTCCAGGGGTGCCGGGGGGGGGGGGGGGGGGGGGGGGGGGGGGCACGGCGACCAGACCCTCCGTGCACCCACTGCCCATTTCTTCCAGTGAGGAATGTTGGAGCATGCAAGGAATCAGTGAGTGTGTGTGTGTGTTGCCGGTAAAATAAGACGCATGAAGCAGATTGGTCGGGCAATGCCCTGGGAGCATGCTGACCCTGGGACTTTTGCATACTATCACATTTTTGTTCAGGCTAGAGCTATACAGACGCAGAGAGAGAAGGAGAGAGAGACAGAGTTTGGAGTGTGCTCTTGCTTCATGAGGTGCTGAAGGAGTTTATCCACATGGACAAAGACCATTTTAAATCTCTCATAAAAGGACATGATGTGTGTTGATGCAACTGATCACACTGGACATCTGTTGTTCTGAATTAAGAAGAGTAAACTACTTGTTCTTTACTATTCACCTGTGTGGCATATTTTTTTTCCTCTGGCAAGGCAGTGTGTGGGCTGATCAAACGTGAACTACACGTGGTTTATTTTACATTATGCCCCAAGGAAGGGGGTCCTGGGCCCAAGGAGGCAAAAGGGTAAACTGCCTCTTTCCCGCAAGGCAGCTGGCTGCCTGCTCCGAGGTCCCTGCTGAGCAGTCCTCAGGCCAAGCCCTGGCCCTGGTGCCAAGGCCATGAGTAAGGGGCAGGCTCCCTACAATCATGCAGCTGAAAGGGGCCCCAAAGGCCACCCAGTCCAGCCCCCTCCTGCCCGGAAGGAAAGCACCATCCAGCCTCTCTTTCAAGGCCTCCAGAGAAGGATTTTTCCTGTCCAGACAAGGAAGAAGGTTTGCACATCCCTTGCACAGGGCAAGGGAGACCCCAAAGAGGAAGGGCAGGTGGCAGGGGCGGCCTCCATGGAATCTGCCGGCTGAAGGGTTCGAAGAGGGATGTGACTTGGGGAAGGCCTACCTGGTGAAGAATGCTGATGACCACCGTGTAGAGGAACCCGACAGCTGCCACTGCGACCAGGCAGAGCAGGAACATGTAGGCATCGCGGTAGAGCTTGAAGTCCATGGGCTTTGGGTACAGGATGGAGCGAATGAGCTGCCCTTTCGAAGTGCTGAAGCCTGGAACACCAAGAGTGGATTTCCCAGCATGACCCGGGAGCAGGCAAAGGCCACGCCCAGCACCAGAAGGATGGGATGAGCATGATGATAGGATTATTATTATTACTACTACTACTACTACTACTACTACTACTACTGCCAAGCGTTGCTGTGGCCTAGTCTGGTGATTTGGAAAATAAAGTAATGAGAAAGTGTTGGTTTCTAATATATATAATGTCTTAATGCTTGTGGGTAAACAGTATTTCTTGTTGTTTSTTTGTCAGTGTTGATGTGGAGAGTGTCCAGTTTGCCCACCCTGGAACATGCAACATATCATTGTCCTTCTTTAAGGATCCCTTTCAAATCTATGATACTATATGACTAYCTGTGTGTGAATCATATCTATCTCTATCTATGGCTGGATGGCTCTTTGTCAGGAGGGCTCTGATTACGTTTTCTTGCCCTGGTGAAGGGAGTTGGATTGGGTGGCCTTAAGTATGAGAGTTCTGTGTGGGAAGTTTGCCCCAATTCTGTCRTTGGTTGGGGTTCAGAATGCTCTTTCATTGTAGRTGAACTATAAATCCCAGTAACTACAACTCCCAAATGTCAARGTCTATTTTCCCCCAAACTCCATCTGTGTTCATATTTGGGCATGTGGAATGTTCGTGCCAAGTTTGGTCCAGATCCATCATTGTTTGAGTCCACAGTGCTCACTGGATGTTGGTGAACTACAACTCCCAATCTCAAGGTCAATGCCCACCAAACCCTTCTAGTGTTTTCTGTTGGTCATGGGAGTTCTGTGTGCCAAGTTCGGTTCAATTCCATTGGGTGAAGTTCAGAATGCTCTTTGATTGTAGGTGAACTATAAATCCCAGCAACTACAACTCCCAAATGACAAAATCAATTTTTTTGAGTGAAGGACATACACTGGGTTGTTAGGTGTCTTGTGTCCAAATTTGGTGTCAATTTGTTCCAGTGGTTTTTGAGTTCTGTTAATCCCACAAACGAACATTGCATTTTTATTTATATAGATGATGATGATTATTATTATTATTATGTTTATGTTTATCCTCAGCTACGAAGTGACGACCAATACGCAGGCAAGAAGACCCTATTTCCTGCCAGGGTCTGCATCTTGCCATATTCCACCAAAACACCCAACCCCCAACTAGACCAGAGGCAGAGGCCAGACTCCCTCTGCCACTCGTGGCGCCCCTCAAGTGCGGAGTGAGGGGAGCGAGACTTACCCGTCCGGACGACAACGGCCCTGACGACCTCCCCGGAGTAGAAGCGGGTCTGGATGACGGTGGTGCCGCAGAAGAGGGTGTGCCTGCGGTGCCCTTCGGGGCTGTACGCCTCGTCCACCGCGGCCCTGGGGTCCTCCGAGGGGTTGGGCAGGTTGGTTTTGGTGACTGGGACACTTTCGCCTGAAGAGGAAGGAGGATAGGGTGGTCAATCCAGGCCATGAGGCCCACCCCACTGGCTCCGGCATCCAAGGGGAGCCGCCGTTCCCTCACCAGTCAGCATGCTCTCGTTGACGATGCACGTCCCGCTGACCAGGACTGCGTCGCAGGGCATGACCATCCCGTTCAGCGGGACCACGATGACGTCGCCGGGCACAAGGTCCGTAGAAAGGATCTCTTCCACTCCTGGAGATCAGAAATAGGTGTGCAAATGTGTAAAAAAGAACCCACGCACAGGGCAGGACTTTTGAGCCGAGACCAAAAACCCGGAGTGCCTTGTGAAGCCTCATGGCCAGAGCGAGAAGTGCCCCAAACCCACAGGGACTGCTGTTCTGGGGTCTGAGAAGTGGCGGGGAGACCCAAGTGTCCTGCCACTGGTGTTTGTGCATGCCCACAGGCAGTCTGCCCAATGCAGTATGCTGAAAGGACCTGGGGGTTCCCTGGGAGGGACTTCAGTTTCCACCGGACTCTGTACAGACACCCTAAGGGCCCACTTTCCCCCTGGATGAACCCCTGCCCCTCCCACCCCTCGCTGCTGCTCGCTGACCTTGACTGGCTCTGTTGACCGACACGCGGATGATGCTGTGCGCAGCCACCATGTCATGGAGCATCCGGTATTGCTGGGGGAAGGAGGGAGGGAGGGAGGGAGGGAAGGAAGGAAAGAGAGGCACTTGACCAGCCAGTTTGGCTCAAGGGGTCACTGACCGCCAGCTGCCCCTGCCCCACAGAGCTCTCTGGACCAGCGTGCAGGACAAAGGCCTTGTTCTCTGGAAGGCAACCCCAGCCTGGTTGGAAGAGAGTCCCCCTCCTCCCAAAGAGCAAGGCTTCCCTTTGGGGGTGGGATGCCGAGCGGTGCCAGGCGTGCCTCTAAGGGTTCGCCTTCCTTGGACTCCAGGCCAGAACTGGGGGCATCGCTCTTCCTAGGTCACACCTCCCAAAATCCCCCATCCGGCAGGGATGGAGGCCTTGTGAATGGCGGGCGCTTGCTGCACTCTCAGCCCAATACAGGCTGGCCCTCAGAGGCAACCGGGACCAAGACGCAGGTCAAGGGTGCCAAGGGTGCCTTGAGGAACCTGGGCTTGTGCCTGAGCATCCTCCTGTGGGAGGGGCTCAAGGGTGGCCGCTCTACGGACAAGACGGGCCGGGGGGGGGGGGGGGCTGCAGACCTCACCTGCCAGTCATGCGATGGCTCCGGGAGGGAGTGGGGGGAGACAGAGGAGCGAGGCCAAGGGGCGTACCTACCTTCCGGATGGTGTACAGGGAGCTGACCACGGATATCAGAGACATGACCACAATGGCGGCTGCGTAGTAGTAATATTCATCCGTGCTCCACAAGATCACACTGAACAGCTGGAAAATGTAAAAAGGATTGAGAACCTGGGGGGCGGATGGGAGGGGGGGAGGGGGGAGGGCAGGAGAGAGAGAGAGAGAGAGAAAGAGAGACAAAACCGGTCAGGATACGGACCTTCCGTTGCAACACCCAGCAGCCCACATCCCAGTATATCACAATAATAATAATAATAATAATAACAATAGTAATAATAATAATAATAATAATGTATTTGTACCCCAGCACTATCTCCCCAAAGGGACTCGGGGTAGCTAACAAGGCACTCCAGGTGCTACACATAAAATAGAACTAAGGTAAAGGTTGTCCCCTGACATTGTCCAATCATGCCTGACTCTGGGACTCTGGTGCTCATCTCCATTTCTAGGTCAATGAGCTGGCATTGTCTGTACACGCCTTCAAGGTCATGTGGCCGCTGGCATGACTGCATGGCGCGTTGTTACCTTTCCACCAGGGTGGTACCTATTGCTCTACTCACATTTGCATGTTTTTGAACTGCTATGTTGGCAGAAGCTGGGGCTAACAGCAGGAGCTCACCCCACTCCCAGGTTTTGAACCAGCGACCTTTTGGTCAGCAAGTTCAGCAGCTCAGCGGTTTAACCCACTGCGCCATCGGGGGCTCCATAAATAGAATTGCATATCATCAAAACAATACACAGTTTGAATACAAACAATAGGTAACGTCAATCGATAACATTTAAAAAATTAGGAATTTTCAAACCCAGTTCCTGCAGGTCATTGGGCTTCTTCAAACATGAGCTAAAGTGCCGAATAACAATGGTCAACGTCATCCCATGACCAGAGTACATTATTCCAGGTCAAGGGCCCGTGTAAAGAGTCATGTTTTGAGACTCAAACAGAAGGTTTGGAGATTTGGGGCTATTATTCATAAGCACATATTTACTGATTTGTCCAATGAATACACAATAAGTTAGTTGACAAGCAACAACTATAACCGTTAATTAAAAAAAACTATCAAAAACTGGAAAACCATTAGATTTAGCCAGCAGGGAAAGAGTGCCAGGGAGAAATACAGATGTGCCAAAAGAGCCCCCCAGGCACAACGTGGACTCAAGGGCCGCCTGTCCCTGGATGCCGCCATCTTTTCCCCACCCTGGAGATTTAAAGGCTTACTGTGACACTCCCAATGGGTCAGGACCCCTTCTAGGTTCTGCCAGGTTGGGCTACGCTTGCATTCCACTCAAGGTCAGTGTCCACGAGGCACAAAGCGGGAAAGGCAGTGGGAACCCCCCAGAGCGCACTGCTGCCTTGCGCTGCTGGCAACCCTCCCGCTGCCAGGTGCAGAGTGTCACAATAAATTCAATGTGCAGATTTGACAAATAGGAATTTAATATGATGTGTGGGAATGAATGGAAGGATGTGGGGTTGGAGTTAATAATTTTGGAAACACCAGCATAATATTCAGGCCTGCAATGACTCACTACCTGCTTGCTGGAACTGTGATCAAAACCTGCTAATGCAGTGTTTCTCAACCTGGGGGTCGGGACCCCTGAGGGGGTCGCGAGGGGGTGTCAGAGGGGTCGCCAAAGACCATAAGAAAACACAGTATTTTCTGATGGTCATGAGGATTCCATGTCGGAAGTTTGAGCCAATTCTATCGTTGGTGGAGTTCATAATGTTCTTTGATTGCAATGAACTATAAATCCCAGCAACTACAACTCCCAAATGTCAAGATCTACTTTCCCCAGACTCCACCAGCGTTCACATTTGGGCATATTGAATATTCGTGCCAAGTTTGGTCCAGATCCACCATGGCATGAGTCCACAGTGCTCTCTGGATATAAGTGAACTACAACTCCCAAACTCAAGGTCAATGCCCATCAAACCCTTCCAGTGTTTTCCATTGGTCATGGGAGTCAAGTTTGGTTCAAATCCATCACTGGTGGAGTTCAGAATGCTCTCTGATTATAAGTGAACTATAAATCCCAGCAACTACAACTCCCAAATTACAAAATCAGTCCTCGCCCAACCCCACTAGCATTCACATTTGGGTGTATTGGGTATTTGTGCCCAGTTTGGTTCAGTGAATGAAAATGCATCCTGCAGATGAGATATTTACATTATGATTTATAACAGTAGTAAAATGACTGTTATCAATTCGCAACAAAAACAATATTATGGTTGGGGGTCACCACCACATGAGGGACTCCATTAAGGGGTCACGGCATTAGGATGGTTGAGAACCACTGTGCTAATGAGAATTGGTAAGAACTGTGACAACGGTTCTTTCAAGTAAAGGAAATGTTTGCAACCTTCCTCAGGTTAAGAAGGAAGTCAACAAAAGAGCAACACCAATCAAGAAGATCAACATCTGGCCAGGAAACTGGGATGGAGCCAGGATGGAAGACGTCTATCATTAATTTTCAACTTTGGGAAGACATCAGCAGAATATTGCTATTAAAAGGCTCAGTCTAATAATGCTCAAAGTGTGGCAGACCTGAGGAGTCTGTTCCACCCGCCATGCTCTGCTCAATAAGGGAAGGGGAGAGATGGTTGTTATGAACCCAAAGAGGTTCCTGTTCTTTGTGCAGAGTGTTCAAGGAATCGTAAGGTAATTTAGGGTATGTATTCTGAGAGTGGGAGATATGCTATGGGAAAGCAGGATTGTGTACACTTTGGGGCTTCTTTCTCAAGGGAAGGGAAAGAAGTGTGAGTTTTGAAGTCTTAGATTTTGTGCAGGGAGTCAGGTTCTGCTGTAGGGAAAACTCAGATCTGGTCCTTGGCATTGTGCTTAGGAAAAGAAGTTTTGGCATTGCGGTGTTTTGAAATTTTGGTGTTATTTATTTATTTATTTCACAGTTTTCTATACCGAGCTTCTCGACCTCATTGAGGGACTCAGCCCGGTTTCCAGCCATAAAAAACATATACACTCATTAAAATATCATATATCACAATTACAAAAACAACTTCGTCCTATTAAAATGGATCTACCTCAACTTCCATCCAGGGCCCTATGGTGTTGTCTCATTCCTCGAAGGCCTGACTCCACAGCCACGTCTTCACCCGTTTCCTAAATGTTAGGATGGATGGGGCGGTTCTGGCCTCCAGAGGGAGAGAGTTCCAGAGTCGCGGGGCCACCACCGAGAAGGCCCTGTCCCTCGTCCCCACCAGGCGCGCTTGCGAGGCTGGTGGGACCGAGAGCAGGGCCTCTCCAGATGATCTTAATAATCTTGATGGAAGTTATGGAAGTCATGGAACTATGCATTGGAAGGGCTGCAGGAAAGCAGGGTCTGGCCTAAGAGGTGCTTCTCCAAGGAGGGAGAAAAGGATAGGGTAACATTTTGGATGCATGTGGATGAATGCGTGTACATGTGGTGTGAATGTTGAGTGGAAATGTAATTCCCCTTTGTTTGTTTGTTTGTTAACCAATGCAATTGTGAATCCAATGTAGTTGCATAGAATCTGTATGTCTAAATGTTTTTCTGTAGTCTGATCTACCCTCTATGCCTGTGAGACGTGGACTGTCTATAGATGTCACACTCAACTCCTGGAACGAATCCATCAGTGTTGCCTCTGGAAAATCCTGCAAATCTCTTGGGAAGACAAGCGGACAAACGTCAGCGTGCTGGAAGAAGCAAAGACCACCAGCATTGAAGCGATGGTCCTCCGCCACCAACTCCGCTGGACCGGCCATGTTGTCCGGATGCCCGACCACCGTCTCCCAAAGCAGCTGCTCTACTCTGAACTCAAGAACGAAAAAGGAATGTTGGAGGACAGGAAAAGAGATTTAAAGATGGGCTCAAAGCCAACCTTAAAAACTCTGGCATAGACACTGAGAACTGGGAAGCCCTGGCCCTTGAGCGCTCCAGCTGGAGGTCAGCTGTGACCAGCAGTGCTGCAGAATTTGAGGAGGCACGAGTGGAGGGTGAAAAAGAGAAACGTGCCAAGAGGAAGGCGCGTCAAGCCAACCCCGGCCGAGACCGCCTTCCACCTGGAAACCAATGCCCTCCTCACTGCGGAAAAAGATGCAGAGCAAGAATAGGGCTCCACAGCCACATACGGACCCACAAGAATATTGGAAGACAATCATCCTCGGAAAGCGAGGGATCGCCTAAGTAAGTAAGATCTACCCTCTCACACTGGAAATTGCAATAAAAAGGACCGATGCTTCAAAGTCATTGAAAAGTCATTCATGACACCGGCCCTTTCCTCTTTCCCGGCTGCGGAGGGGAAGCCCCGAGAGTCAGTGCTGCTCCTGAAGCACCAGCCAGCCCTCTTCACGAGCAGCAGGCCCCAGACCCCAAGCGCCAGAGACCCCCCCCTTTGCACACGCACACCCCCCCCCCCCACACACACACACAAATAAAAGGTCCTTACCTCTTTGACCAAAAGTTTAAAAATGGAAGGCACTTTCACGGCAATTTCATTTACTCCATAGAACAATTTTCTGTATCAAAAGGTGATGAAAACAAAAGCATTGACATGTTGTTTGCTGGCACTGAGCTGCCCCTACGCTCCGGCTGAGGGACAAGCAAAGCCAAGCCGGAACAAGGAGTCAAGGAGGAGGAGGAGGAGGAGGAGGAGGAAGAGGGGCTGCCAGGACCCCCACCGCTCCCCCTGCAGGCAAAGACCTATCCCCACCTCGATGGAAGAGGCCACAAGGGCCATGCCCTCCCCCTTGCCCCGCCCCACCAGAACTTGTAAGCTGCAGCTCCGGGCTCTCCTGTGGGGGTGCCCTTCATCCAGAGGGAACTGAGGGGGAATGGGGTCTCCCAGGAAGGAACCCAGGTGAGAGAACCAAAGACATCAACCCAAAAAACCTGGGCCAACTTATCCACAGCTCAAGGAGAAGTAAAGACCGGACCACGGCCTCTGGGGATCACCACCACAGGCTTTGGGGTCAATACTATGGATTTGGATACAACCCCACATATGCCGAGGGTCATTCCGCAGAAAGTGTATTTTATCAGGGATAAAGGATTGGTGTTGGCATGGTTGTGAACAAAGAAGATTAAGATCCCCCGGGGAGGCCCTGCTTTCTGTCCGGCCATTGTCACAGGCGCAATTGGTGGGGACGAGAGACAGGGCCTTCTCGGTGATTGCTCCCCGGCTATGGAACTCTCTTCCTGGCGAGATCAGGTCAGCCCCCTCCCTCCTGTCCTTTAGAAGGATGGTCAAAACTTGGCTGTGGGACCAGGCTTTCAGGACAGGGCAATAAGGCAGCGATAGCGAAGATGACCAGGCCAATTAGACTTGATGTGGATGACTAGGACGGTTTTAAATGGTGTATTTTAATATTTTGATAAATGTTTTTTAATGTTTATGTATGTGTACGTGAATTTGTGTTCCGACATTGAATGTTGCCGTGTGTATGCTGTGCTCTGCCCTGAGTCCCCTGAGTTGGGGTGAGAAGAAGGGCAGGATATCCATGTTTTAAATAAATAAAATAAATAAATATGGGAATGTGACCGATTGCAAGAATACTGGAGAATGACTGAAGGAGAAATCAACAGAAGGTTAAATTTACAAAGAGTAAGAGTCAATAGAAATGGACTATCTGCACGGATACCAGGAGAGAAGAATATACAAAAGGAAAAATCGGTTGACAAACTAATGGTGTGCGCACAAATGGTTTTCGTGCGGGGTTGGAAAGATGGATGTGGAAATAACAAATTGCAAATGGAATAATATAGATAAAATTGAAAAAGTTACAATAACTAAGAGGACGTGCGAACCAGTTAGGAATTGTTTAGAGAATGTGCGAAGACGTGGAGTAGAAAAATTAAAACTGAGATTTCAAATGTAACTTCTGTAGTTTGGTGTACAAGGAGGGGAGGGTGGGAGTAGGAGAAAACAATCAACAACAATTAAAAATGTACATTCCGCAGAGAGGGGAAGTGCCCATGTGGACTCCCTGGCTGCCGCCATCTTTTCCCCACCCTGGAGATTCAAATGGATTTCCAGATGTTGTGACTCTCCAAGTGGGTGAAGACCCCTCCTAGGTTCTGCCAGGGTGGGCTACGCTTGCAATCCACTCAGGGAAAGGGTCCCTGGGCTGGTCAGCTTTCAGGTACAGAGCAAACACTGACCCCTGGATATATTGTCCCAGGGTTTTTGGGTTGAGGTTTCAATATAGTAATATATGCTTGAGGATACAGAGCACACAGACAGAAAGCCAGTGAATGCAGACAGCCCTCTGGGAGACGGATTCTGCTCCCGCCACATGCCAGAAATGGTGGCCTACCTGTAATCCTGTGTCCCCTTGGTCAGCCCTCTGCTGTGCTCCTTATGGATGGACAAACAGGAAGTGGACTCATCCAAGCCCCTGGGGAAGGGGGGGGAGAGGACATCAGAGGAAACACACCTCAGAAGAGAAGGCCCCTTGCCTTTGCCTTTAAAGTGAGGAAGAGCCGGCTCCCTGGGGTCTTCACCTTCCATGTCTATTTCTGAGAGCTGCTCCTGCTCATAGACAACCTCCCCCCCCCCCCCCCCCCCCCCCCCCCCAAACCCCACAAAACCCTCAAACTCAGGAGGAGCAACAACAGGCAGGACATCCATGTCTTCCTTCAAATTCCCATTCAGTCCCCAGTTCTTACTTGATGGGGCCAAAGTTCTGGGCCGTGTCATTCCAGAAATACTTCATGCTGTGGTGGGTGAAGCACCGGATCTGTGGAAGCACACAAACACACAAGCCATTTGATCATGGCCAAACGTTTCTGACAAAGCCACACTAAGCTGCTACTGGGGGGTTTTGAGAGAAGGCGTGTGGCCTCATTGCCGCTCTGCCCTGGCTTGGTAATGGCATGCCTGGCTGCCTGACCAGAGGCCAGTTCCTCAAGGCAGTTGCGCCCAAAGGGAGACTGGAGCATCACACTCTGTGCTTGCAAGCTGGGGCAGGGGTCTGAAACCTTAACCGTTCTGGGGAGGGGGCAACAGAAGGTAAGTGGAGAAGGGGATCAGGAAAGAAAAGGGCTTTGTTTCCACTTTAGCCAGAAAAGGCTCTGCCGCCCTCTCGTGGGAGAAGGCACCCCCAAACCATGGGCTGAACTCAGTGTCTTGCATGGGGGGAGGGTCTTCTTTTTCCCCACCACAACCCCCCCCTTCCCCTGGGCCCCCAGTACCTCCTGCAGGTGGGCCTTGGGGCCGCTGTTGCCCAGGTCGGTCCTGCTCTCGTCGGAGGGAGTGACGTACAGGTGCCCGCTGCAGCCGTTGGCCACCTTCTCTGGCGCGTATTTTGGGGTCTGCAACGGATGGAGCCCCAAAGAGAGCACGGTGCGCACCCTTGCGCAAAACCACGTCTGGAATTCATCCTGGGGAGAGGAGCGTGGAGGGGGAGGAGCCTCAGAAATGGGCCTCCACATCCTCAGATGAAGCAGACATTGGCAAACACTGGGGGATGCACCTGTATCTAGAGCAAAGGTTTCAAAATGGCACAGGAGTCACTGAAGCAACGGGTGAGAGATTGCCCTGGGGAGCTCAGAGTCCGCTCAAATTCATCAGGTTCCCCTAGGAACCTACCTGAACCTGAGCCATTCAAGTCAGGTAAGTATCTTAACAATCTCACAATCTCTCATTATTGCAGATTCTTCACAAAAGCAAGACTAAATGCATTTCCATCGGAGCTGCTAAATGGCAGACTATCTGGCATCCCTTACTCCCAAAGATTATGCCCGCGTGGTGGAAATGAAACAGAATCGCTAGAACACATCCTGTTGCCGTGTCGCTATTACTCAGGCCAGCGAGGCCAATTCTTACACCCAATCCTGACCCGATTGTTTGACCATTCCCCGCAAGGGAAGGTCAAACATCTTTTGGAGGACACGCACCACGGAGTCACCCTCACGGTGGCAAAGTTCCTCACAGTGGCAGCAAGACTGAGAAAGAGCCTAGTCTCCGATCTAGTATAGTGTGTCTGTATAGTATATTTCCCTGGTTACAAGGGATAAGTAAACTCCTGTATGTTTACTATTCACTTAACAGCTGTGGGTCCACGGGCTGTAATAAAGTTCTGACTGTTACTGTATATCTAGAGCAATGAGGCACTGGCCCTGACCCAGAAACCTGCCATCTTGCTATTTACCTGTTTCCTTAGATCTAGGAAACTCAAGGTGTTTTTACTCCCTGCCTTCTTCTTCCCAAAAGGGTTCAGTGTGCCTTTACTCCCCTTTGTTTGAGAAGGGAGCACCAAGAGGCCTCTCTCTGCCTCAAAGGTGTCTCAGACGCATTGATGAAGGCTCAGCATTCGGGACACTTCTGTCAAAGTTAGGCCACGTTGTGTTGTCAAAGGCTTTCAGGGCCAAAATCACTAGGTTGCTGTGGGTTGTTCAGGTTGTATGGCCATATTCCAGCAGAGAAACGTCAAGAGAGAATGCTGCTGGAACATGGCCATATAGGCTGAAAATCCCACTTTCTGTGGTCTATCTACTTTTTAAAAATCAGAGGTGCTATTATCAAGCAAGCTTCCTTTCTGCTTCCCTGGAGTGAGACTAGGACGCAATGGAGCAATGGCTTCAAACTCCAAGAGAGGAGATCCCATCTGAACATGAGGAAGAACTTCCTGACTGTGAGAGCCGTTCAGCAGTGGAACTCTCTGCCCCGGAGGGAGTGTGGTGGAGGCTCCTTCTTTGGAAGCTTTTAAACAGAGGCTGGATGGCCATCTGTCAGGGGTGATTTGAATGCAATATTCCTGCTTCTTGGCAGAATGGGGGTGGACTGGATGATGGCCCAGGAGGTCTCTTCCCACTCTAGGATTCCATGATTCTATGGTTCTCTATGATTCTATCACCTGGAAAAGTAAAACTGAGCTCTTACCTTATGCTTACCCCTAGCACTGGCTATGCTGCACTCTACTCTGCTGCAGATACCAAAGGTTTCTAAACCCATGACACCTGGGGTGGATCTGCGGATGGAGGTGCTTGACCAGCCCCTCCCCCCCCATGCGCCCCCCTTTGTCCCCCGAGCTCACCGTGGTCCTGAGGAGCACCACCTGGCACCCCCGGAGCGGGGCCCGCCTGCAGGTGGCCTTGACGCGCCACTCGGGCATCCAGTAGAGCAGCAGCAGCAGGAAGCCCCCCGTCAGCACCATGCCCAGCGCCACCAGCGCCAGCCTCCACCGGCAGAAGCTGTAGCCACAGAGTTTCTGCAGGAAAGAAGGGGAGGCAGTCAGGGAGGGGCATCATCATTATCACCACCACTGCCCCCCACCTGCCCCCAAAGCAGGGTACCACTCAGGTCACATCCATAAAGGGACGGCTATTTACACACACACCTTTAAAAAGACACACATAAGATGAAAACACATTTGAAATCCTTGGTCCCAATATCATGTATGGTTTCAATGCAGAGGTCAACACTGACTGGTCAGGACGGCCAGGAGAGAGAAGTCTTTCCCTGCGTGCTAAATTCGGAGAGCCCAACTAGGCCAGGCCTCCCTCGCCAAGGCTGCTCCGTGCTTTCCAAACCAGAAGAGATACTTAGTCCCATTGACTGTGCCATGAGCCCACCACAGAGAGTGGCCACGGGGTGGGCAAAGCAGCAAATTCTGGAGCTATGGCTAGGACAAGGGGGGAGGCCTGCAAGGGTCTCCGTGGCCGCAGATTCCCAACCGAGGTCCCAAAGACCCCGATGACGGGAAAAATAGCGGCATTCCCTTTGGCTGCTTTGACAAACCAATCTGCCCCTCCCCCGGGATCACACTCCAGCGTCCAGTCGCAGGATGGCCTCTCCGTTGAGGAAGCACCTGACCGTTTGGCCTTTCCTGGCCATCTGAACCCAACCCCAGTTCAATATCTGAAGGACAAGTGAGGAAAACAAGAGCGTAGAACTGGCAGGGAAGCCGCCACGCTTCAGGACCACGGCTGGCGCATTAACCGGCACTCCTAGCGCGGCATGAAGGAAACAGGCGCAGCGGGAGCCCAGCCAGATAGGAAGGGCAGGAGGAATACGGAGCAGGTGTCGGGACAGAGGCGGGGGGCTGCCCTCTTGCCAGCTCCAGGGCCAAGCAGGGCCAACTCACAAGGAAAGACAGGCAGGGCAAGAGGGAGTGCCCAGCCACGGGCCACGCTTCCCGTACCTTGGGAAGTCTGACTTGGCCACGGTAGTCCACGCTCTTGTCACATCCTGCCTAGACTACTGCAACGCTCTCTACGTGGGGCTGCCCCTGAAGACGGCCCGGAAGCTGCAACTAGTCCAACGCGCGGCAGCCATGATTCTAACAGGAGCGGAGCGCAGGGAGCATACAACCCCCCTGTTGCGCCAGCTCCACTGGCTGCCGATCTGCTACCGGGCTCAATTCAAGGTGCTGGCTTTGGCCTATAAAGCCCTAAACGGTTCCGGCCCAAGATACCTATCTGACCGCATCTCGGCCTATGAACCCACCCGGACTTTGAGATCTTCCGGGGAGGCCCTGCTCTCGATCCCGCCAGCCTCTCAAGCACGGTTGGCAGGGACGAGAGATAGGGCCTTCTCGGTGGTGGCTCCTCGGCTGTGGAACGCCCTTCCTGTAGACGTTAGGCTGGCACCATCTCTCATGACATTCCGTAGAAAGTTGAAGACCTGGATGTTTGTGCAGGCGTTTGAGTAATTCAGTGCAAATTGGTAATTTGAACATAGGAACGGAACAATGGACGACGAATTTGGATCACGCTTGGATGATGAGGTGAACAGGGATGGGATTTGTGATAACTGTGTATTGATGATTGCTTATTAGTTATTAATGGAAATGTGTAATTTAACTGTCATTGCATATTAATTATTGCTGTTTTTATCGTCTTTGCTGTTTGGAAACCGCTGAGAGTCGCCCTCGGGCTTGAGATACAGCGGTATACAAGAATAGTAAGTAAATAAATAAGGAGGAGCTTGGAAAGGGAAGGAAGGTTGCAGGGGGAGGGAGAAGGGGAAAGCGCACCCCCAGGCAAGCAAACCCCAAACACAGGTGGAGTTCCAGCAGGGAAAGGGAAGGAGGAAGAAGGGGGCCCAGAGAGAAAGGGCAGCATGTTGGGGGGGGGGGGGTACTCTGGACAGAGCTCAAGAGCCAAAGGCAGGGAAGACAGAGAGGCCAGCCTGGACAGGCAGCGCAGGGAGGTGTGCAAGGCAGCCTCCCTCCCTTGCCTCCCCCTCAGGGCCACACTGCAGAGCCTGACCCCCTGGCTTGTTCTTGAAGGCCGCTCTGCAGCTTCCTTTCCTGTTTGTTCCCTCCAAGGAACGTCAGGTGAAAGCGCCTCAAAACGTCAGGTGAAAGGGCCTCAAAACGTCAGGTGAAAGCGCCTCAAAACGTCAGGTGAAAGCGCCTCAAAACGTCAGGTGAAAGGGCCTCAAAACGTCAGGTGAAAGGGCCTCAAAACGTCAGGTGAAAGGGCCTCAAAACGTCAGGTGAAAGCGCCTCAAAACGTCAGGTGAAAGCGCCTCAAAACGTCAGGTGAAAGGGCCTCAAAACGTCAGGTGAAAGCGCCTCAAAACGTCAGGTGAAAGGGCCTCAAAACGTCAGGTGAAAGCGCCTCAAAACGTCAGGTGAAAGGGCCTCAAAACGTCAGGTGAAAGCGCCTCAAAACGTCAGGTGAAAGGGCCTCAAAACGTCAGGTGAAAGCGCCTCAAAACGTCAGGTGAAAGGGCCTCAAAACGTCAGGTGAAAGCGCCTCAAAACGTCAGGTGAAAGGGCCTCAAAATGTCAGGTGAAAGCGCCTCAAAACGTCAGGTGAAAGGGCCTCAAAACGTCAGGTGAAAGCGCCTCAAAACGTCAGGTGAAAGGGCCTCAAAACGTCAGGTGAAAGCGCCTCAAAACGTCAGGTGAAAGGGCCTCAAAATGTCAGGTGAAAGCGCCTCAAAACGTCAGGTGAAAGGGCCTCAAAACGTCAGGTGAAAGCGCCTCAAAACGTCAGGTGAAAGGGCCTCAAACCCCCTCGAGATGCCCTCGCTGTCCTGGGGGGGGGGGGAGACCAGAGGCCGAGAGCTGGCAGCTGCGTGTACGCAAACCAGGAGCTGAGTGGATGCCTTTGCCCTTCCTGCCTCCTTGCACCATGGGGTGTGCCCTCCACCCCCCACCACTGGTCCATCCTGAGCCCCTTCTCTGTGTGTTTGTGCCTATTCCACTCAGCAGGACCCATGCCACTCAGCAGCCATCCCCACCCCTCTCTCTGGGAGGTAACTGGATAACCTCCCCGCGCGGAGATTCAGATCTAAAGGTCAAATTGAATCTTCAACACCTCGACAAACTTCAGCTAAAGGAAAGACCATCAGGACAATGGTGTAGATAATGGCGGGCATAGGTCAACTGTGTGCCTCAGTGTTTGGGCTTTATCACACCGCTCTTTTATGTTGCATTATTCCATTTGAAATCTATTAAAGTTATTTTTTAATTATCTGTACATTTACACTTCAATAGAACCATTAAATATTTGCAAAGTCTTTTGTCCACATTAATGGTGCCCTTACCACATCCTATACTCTGATGCTCACTTGATTGGTCCATCAAATGACAAATACAATGTCATTACAAGGCCCTCCCTAACTATCGAAATCTTTTATTCATCTTTTATTCATACTGCAACAGTATGTTTTAATGTGTATGGTGCTGATATTTTAATCGTGTAATGAAGTGGCATTGTGTTGTTATTGAATTTTTTTTTGTATGTTAACACATGTTGTGAACCGGTCCGAATCCCTCTTTGAAGGTGAGAGTGTCGCTATATAAAACCTCAAAATAATAATAATAATAATAATAATAATAATTCCCTGCACTCTTTCCACTGACCGCAGAGGGAAGCTGATGAGGAAACACAACATACAAACTATCTCCAGACCCACCAAGAAAATCCAACCAATGCTCTGTTCAGCAAAGGACAAGAGGGATCCTCTCACTTCTGCAGGAGTCTACCATTGTGTACCATGCAGCTGTGGACAAGAAGTCTCCAGAGGGACCACCAAACGCAGCAGCAGCCTTGCCCAAACACGAATCAAGGAACATGAAAGGCACTGCAGACTCCTTCAAACAGAGAAGTCAGCCAGAGCAGAGCACCTGAGGAACCAGCCTGGACACAGCATACTATCTGAGAACACAGAAATGCTGGACCACACCAACAACCACCATGTCAGACTACACAGAGAAGCCATTGGAATCCACAAGAAGCATGTGGACAATGTCAACAGAAAGGAGGAGACCATGAAAATGAACAAAATCTGGCTCCCAGTATTAAAAAACTCTAAAATTACAACAGCAAAACAGCAGAGAGTAAACAATCAGGCACATCATATCATCTCTCAACAAAAGATTGCCCCAGGCACTGCCAGGACATCAAATGCTAATCAAGGTTGATGCCGGCATCGAATTGTGCCTTTGTAAGCCACCCTGAGTCCCCTTCGGGGTGAGAAGGGCGGGGTAGAAGTAACCAAAATAAATAAATAAATAAATAAGGTGGTCAGTTGAAACATTCCCACCTAGCTCCAGCAGACAAGAGTCCTTTGCCCCACCCCGGTCATTCCACAGATATATAAACCCCTTTTTCCTAGTTCCAACAGACCTCCCAACCTCTGAGGATGCTTGACATAGATGCAGGCGAAACGTCAGGAGAGAATGCCTCCTGACCATGGCCATATAGCCCAAAAAAACCTACAACAACCCACTCTTTTCCGCTGCTTGCTCCCAGATTTGCACAGAGCAAGACAGAAACGGGCCCCTCTTTTCACCCGCGCTCTCTCCTTAACATGGAGGAGGGTGCCCCACCACCTTCGGGCAGGCGTTTCGAGAGATGCCCCAACTATGTTCTGCTTTCCTTTCCTGCCTCCCCAACAGATCCGCCTTTCAAGGGCTTCTCCGCATGACGGGCTTATGCAACCCGCTGCCAGAGGGGAGGCCAGAGCTGCTCAGACGGGGAGCTCTGAACACGGGACGCGGCAACAACACGGAGGAGGAGGAGGGCCCACGTGGCTCCGCTGCAGGGAGGACAGGTCCGCTCCCTCGGCTTGGCCCTCCTCCTGCCCTCCAGCCTGCGCTGGATTAAGAGTTTGTTGTCCCTCCCCGCTTGACCGCCTCCTCCTGCGGGGAAACACTTGGGGAGGGGGAGAACACGGATCACTTACCATCTCGTCCTCCTCGCCTTTGTTGATGACCTTCTCCTCGTTCTCCATCTTCCGTGGGGCAAAGCAGGCCGGGTCCCGGGCGTCAGGCTCAGTGGGGCCCTGCGCTGGAGACAAGACGGGGCCCTAAGACATGTTTTGCACATACGTATATGCTCAGCCCCTTTGCATTCCCACGTTACCTTGGAGTGAGTGTCACTCCACCTCCAAACCCAGCCAATGTGCGTAAAATGACCCTGAATGTCAGCTTCTGGGCCAGTGGCCACCAGCAAAGTCCCAGTGCATCAAAATTGTGCTATTGCCTTACATGGAAGAACTGGGTGCTTTGATAAGGGCTGCTGGGTGCCTTCATGTCATTTCCCACTTAGGGCAGTTGTAAGGTGAACCCATCACGGTGTCTTCCTTGCTTTCGCCTTCCAATGGGGCTGAGAGAGTGTGACGTGCCCAAGGGCCCCCAATATGCTCCCATCGCCAAGCGAGGATTTAGCCCTGGTCCCCAAGTACAGTCCAAGGTTCAAACCGCTCCGCAGCCCTGGCTCTCTTAAGGAAAACACCGAGAAAGGCACGTTCCCGTGGGGAGCTCACCAAGAGTCTCAAGGAGGCAAACCAGGCCAAAAAACGTCTTTGTAATGGCTAACGAGGATCTGTGAACTCACTCCGGGGGATAATCTGGCCGTGCCGATTAAGGAGAAGTCTTTGGCCAGCCTCAAGGAAGGCTGGGATGTGTCCATCACTCTTTGCAACCGCAATGGAGCAAAACAACCTTCAGGTGTTTTGGACTCCCCTTCCGAGAATCCCTGACCATTGCACAAGCTGGCCATTGGGCCTTCTGAGGGTCGGAGGGCCAAACACCTGGAGGGCCACAGGACTGTCCCTGCAGTGATGCATTTGTAGACTCGGATGTGCATGTGTACGCAGCTATGTGTGCTTGCATGGTTTAGTTTTGTAGTCTCTTGCAGTGAGTTAGGCAGTTGTTTAGATGGAACAATACATGACTTTAGGCACCCTCAAACTACGGCCCTCCAGCTGTTTGGGCCTCCAGCTCCCAGAAGCCCTAACCAGCTTGTTCAATGCTCAGGAATTCTGGGAGTTGGAGGCCAAAACAGCTGGAGGTCCGCGGTTTGAGGATGGATGCCTGCATTACTTCTCTAAAGAACCCTGGGGAGGGAATGGTGTGTTGGGTGCGTAGGCCACAACCTGGTCAGGTCACCCCTTTGTGCAGCCACTGGGCTGGTCAGGACTGGGGTCGAGTCCTCTCATAGGATCATGGAGTTGCAGGAGACCCCAAGGGCCATCCAGTCCAACCCCCTTTTGCCAGACAGGAAGGCACCATCCAAGCCCTCCCAACAGATGGCCAACTTCTGCTTCGAAACCTCCAGAGAAGGAAGAAAGGAAGATCTGCTGGACTGAGAGGAGTCCACTTGGGACCTAGGGGACTCGGAGTTTCATCATACAACACTGCCCAAGGCAGGCAAGCAACCCAACTCCTAAACCCAAGGACCATCAGTGCACACAGCCTCCTCCTTATTGAGATCCACCTAATAATAATAATAATAATAATAATAATAATAATAATAATATTAAAAAACTCAAAAATTACAACAGCAAAACAACAGAGAGTAAACAATCAGGCACATCAAATCATCTCTCAACAAAAGATTCCCCCAGGCACTTCCAAGCCATCAAATGCTAATCAAGGTGGTCAGTTGAAACATTCCCACCTAGCTCCAGCAGACAAGAGTCCTTTGTCCCACCCTGGTCATTCCACAGATATATAAATCCTTTTTCTTAGTTCCAACAGACCTCACAACCTCTGAGGATGCTTGCCAGAGATGCAGGCGAAACGTCAGGAGAGAATGCCTCTAGACCATGGCAATATAGCCCGGAAAAACCTACAACAACCCAGTGATTCTGGCACTGAAAGCCTTCGACAATACATCATAATAATACTTTATTTATACCCGCTTCCATCTCCCCAAGGGACTCGGAGCTGCTTACATGAGGTCGAGCCCAACAGTACAACAATAACAAGAAAGCAATAAACAAAAAATTACAACAATACAGTTAAATAAATCACATATAAACATTAACATGCAAGGATTTAAAAACCTATGGCTGGGCCAAATGTAGTAGTTAAAAGTTAAAAAATAAACACTGGGCATGAACAAGGTAGGACATATCTGGTAAGAGGGTTTTAAAAGAAGTGAGGGGAGCGCAATCCAAGTGGACAGTTAAAGTGCATTTGGGAACATTTTGCTGGGAATTATTTCCTTATTCCGGGAAGGCACACTGGAACAGCTGCATTTTCAGGCTCCGCTTAAAGATTGCCAATGTTGGGGCATGCCTGATATCCCTGGGGAGTGAGTTCCAGAGTTGGGGGGCTACCACCGAGAAGGCCCTGTCCCTCGTCCGTCCCCACCAATCGCACCTGCGAGGGAAGTAGGAGTGAGAGCAGGGCTTCTCCAGATGAATCAAGAGACCGTGTGGGTTCGTACACAGAAATGCGGTCACGCAGGTAGGCGGGTCCCAAACCGTTCAGGGCTTTGTAGGTAAGAACCTGCACCTTGAATTGGGAAAATGAATGGCAGCCAGTGGAGCGCCTTAAACAGGGGGGGTTGACCACTCGCTGTAAGTCACACCTTCACTACAGCGGCCCCACCTGGCCCCTTATACACAGCCTTTGGGTTCTGATCCAGTCACTCCACTGCCCACAGCTGACTTTTTTTCCTCCCCTTGCTTTTCTTTAGCTAGTCACTGAACCAACATTTCACCTGAGGGTGCTTTTAATTAGCGATTACTCCGGCACATTCCTATATCGTACCCATGGCTTCCACATCACCTTGAACCAATTCTTTTTGGTTTCTCCTCTTTCTAAACTTCTTTTACATTGCTCAGACAAAGCCATGTGCCACACCCCGTCCAACCAACTCTCTCTGCCTGGGTAACGTCTCTGGTAACAAGGAGGAAAGCTGTGTCCCACCAGCACAGGGCGCATGGCATGCGACGCCAAACCCTCTAAACTCCCCCCAGCTGATTCCTGGTTTCAACGGACTACGATGGATGGGGAGTAAGTGGCATCTCTGAGCCCTCAGGACAGCCATGCAACCACATGATCACTGTTGTTGTCACTATTATTATTGTCGAAGGCTTTCATGGCTGGAATCACTGGGTTGTTGTAGGTTTTTCCGGGCTATATGGCCATGTTCTAGAGGCATTTTCTCCTGACGTTTCGCCTGCATCTATGGCAAGCATCCTCAGAGGTACTCAACCTCTGAGGATGCTTGCCATAGATGCAGGCGAAACGTCAGGAGAAAATGCCTCTAGAACATGGCCATATAGCCCGGAAAAACCTACAACAACCCACTATTATTATTATTATTTCTACCCCCACTTTTTCCCTCCACAAAAGAGACACAAATGCAGCCGCCTTTTAGCCACTGCTGTGCCCAGCCACGAAATGGACATTTTGCACCCTTTCCCACTCTGCTCTGAGGAACATACAGAGAAACTTCTCCTGAGCCACCCCCCACCCACCCCCACTCCCCACCCCATCCGTGCTCAGCCGGTTTTGATGCACACGCAGGAATTCAACCACCACATGTGCGAAATACACGTGGAAGACTAGATTATTTTCTCTGCTTTAGAGCACAAGGAAGGGCTCTGAAGCGGGCCTGGAGCGCAGCAGGCGTCCGCTGTCCACCCTGAAAATGGCCAGTCGGGCGCCTCTGGCAAGTTCTCGCAAACCTTAGCAAAACAGCCGCCTGCCTGCCCGCCCGCCCGCCTGCCCCTTTCTCCCCTCCGGCAGGCACGGGGCCTTCAATAACAAAAGAAAGGTACAGCCATCAGAGCCTCTAAAAAGAAAGAAAAAGAGATCCTCCCAAACACTGGAAAGAAGGCTCCCATTGTTCAGAGAGAGAAACGTGAAAAGCCCCAGAGGGTGGGGAAGGCGCCTTCTCTGAAGGACCTTAAACAGAAGGGGCCTGGCCACCTTCCACTGAATCATAGCATTGGAAGGGACCACACGGGACATCTAGCCCAACCCCTTGACATGCAGGAAGATATTGACAAGCTGGAATGTGTACAGAGGAGGGCGACTCAAATGATCAAGGGTCTGGAGAACAAGCCCTATGAGGAGCGGCTTAAGGAGCTGGGCATGTTTAGCCTGAAGAAGAGAAGGCTGAGGGGGATATGATGAGAGCCATGTATAAATATGTGAGAGGAAGCCACAGGGAGGAGGAGGGAGCAAGCTTGTTTTCTGCTTCCCTGGAGACTAGGACACAAGGAACAATGGCTTCAAACTACAAGAGAGGAGATTCCATCTGAACATGAGGAAGAACTTCCTGACTGTGAGAGCCGTTCAGCAGTGGAACTCTCTGCCCCGGAGCGTGCTGGAGGCTCCTTCTTTGGAAGCTTTTAAACAGAGGCTGGATGGCCATCTGTCAGGGGTGATTTGAATGCAATATTCCTGCTTCTTGGCAGAATAGGGTTGGACTGGATGATGGCCCAGGAGGTCTCTTCCAACTCTAGGATTCTATGACTCTATGAAAGCACCCCCGACTGATGGCCATCCAGCCAGGGAAGCAGAACACAAACCCTCTCCCTCTTCCTTATGACAGCTTTTCACATACTTATACATGGCTCCTCTCATGGCTCCTTTCAACCTCTTCTTCTGTAGGTTAAACATCCCCAGCTCTTTAAGACGCTCCTCATAGGGATGATGCCTGGTCTCCAGACGTTTCATCCTTCTAGTCGCCCTCTTCCTCTGGGCACCTTCCAGCTTAGAGTCAATCTCTCTTGTAAACTGTGGGGCCCAGAACTGGATACAGTGTGATTCCAGGTGATGAGGTCTGACCAAAGCAGAAGAGAGGGGCACCGGGACTTCCTGCGATCACGGTGCCTCTCTCTTCTGCTTTGGTCAAGTGGAGCCACTAGACTCCTTTGGGTGCAACCCAAAATCCTGCTGGCTATTTATTTATTTATTTAAATCTGTGGCATCACGCTCTTGGCTCATGTTCAACCTGTTGTCCATGAAGACCCCAAGATCTTTCTCACGTGGACTTGTCAGGCCAGGTGCCTGCATCCTGTACCTTTGCATTTCACTTTTCCT